GAAATAAGAAAACGGAAGGCTAATTGGATTGGTCATGTTTTACGCAGAAACTGCCTTCTAAAAGAAGCTATCGAAGGAAAGATAGATGGGCGGATAGAAGTGACAAGAAGACGAGGAAGAAGACGTAAGAAGATGCTGGATGACCTTGGGGACAGAAGAGGATACTGTCATTTGAAGGAGAAAGCTCTAGATCGCATTAAGTGGAGGAATTGTTTTGAAAGAGACTGTGGACCTGTCGTCTTGACAGATTACTGATGATGATGATGATGTTCAAAGATAAGAACTATTATGAGTTGAAAGAGAAATGATAACAATAATGCATCCCTGTATACAGAATGGAGAGACCAAGGGTGTTAAGCAGGGCATCAGAATTAAAGTTGAAAGGAAAGAGAAATATGGGATGACCCAGAAAAAGATGATTTAGCCAGACACCGGAAGACATTAAAATAGGAATAAGTTGTCCCTGTACTTAATTAAGCATTACGCCATGAAGACGTATGAAGAAGTGGATGTATAAACCCACGTTTTCTTGACTTCTGCACCAGTTGGAGGTCAATGGTCAGCTTCACGCCCCTGCTGCTTTACCCCCGGGGATAGAGCCCTCAGTACCCATTGGATAGGAGGCTGGGTTGGCCCAAGAGCCGGTCTGGATGACGTGGAGAAGTGAAAATTAAAAGCAATGCAACATCTACCTTTCTAGCAAGATTTGAGGTGCTAGTGAATGTGACTATGAAGACCATGTGCGACGTGATGCAGATAGTTAACAATGTTTCGGAAGAACCTGCAGCCTCCACTTTCAGGGTAGAGGGGACAACAGCAGATTCCTTCAGAACACTGGCAATTACGTGCCACACTATACAGCATCACATCCCAGAAGACAGAAGTGTTCACCTAACTCTCTTGCTTAACACCTCTGTGACTACAGTCACACTACTGCTGCCAATAGGTGTTTCAGTGTTCTCTCAATGCAGGATGACAGCTGTACACACTAAAGCTTTGCAAGAAGTTTGTATGCTGTGGTGTGCACTGGAAGCGATACCATCTTACTGA